CCTGTTGTAGTTTTTCTTTAGTAAATGTGAGTAGTACTACCAAACATATGGCGAAAGGATGGAAGCCGCCTTTGTTTTGAAGTATCTTCACTTTGAGCATTGGTGAGGGCCATTAGCACCTACTAGAACTGTTTTGTGAGGGATATTTTGTCTAGTTTCTAGTTTTCCTAGTTTCTAGTTTTTCTAGTTGCCCTTGAAAAGGTCTCTTTTATCTAGAAAATACACAGCTCAGATCAGCCCTCAGCCATTTCACCTGAGCCTTATCAGTAGTATCAGCATACGCCTCTCAGTGACAATATTGACAAAAGGAGCAGGTGTTACTCCCATGCTTCAGGCTGAGATTAGGAATGGGGCTGGCTTGAGGTCGGCAGACAGGAGTGGACCTACAGTGTAGAACTCCGCTTCATCATACTGTCAGAAATGAAAAACACATGGATCGATTCATCAGTAATGTAGCATGGAATCAGCATCAGATGACTGAAGCATGGCTTCGATTGGACAAATCATCTTTTGGAGGTTACCTTTCTACAGTGGAATACCTGTATTCACTAAACAATGTTTAATCGTGTGTTAGCAGAACCATGGTGGTATATCACCAGGGTAAATCTTTATATGACTGTAGACCTAATAATCATTTTATTTCAAATGTTATTTTAATAGTCATTTGCAGAAAACCACATGTCTGTTATTTTTGCATGTTTTTTTGTCTCTTGCAGCATGATTGTCCTTATATTTGTATGTGCTGGACTCATAATTCTCCTTTTGGCTATTGCATTTTCAGGTTAGCCATGCAGTTCTGAACATATTTGTGTAATTTACTGCTCAGAAGTGTGGTGCGTTGGCTGTAGGGCATATTGTGGATATTGTCAGTGTAATTAGTCCTGTATAATTGGATTTAGTGTAGCACAATATGTGAAATGTTAAATACAAATCATTTGATTCATAGTTTTTGATTATTTTTTTTTTTAATGAAGCACTATTTTGTCTGCTGACATTGTGACATATCATGTATTACTTCCTGAAGCATCATCATATTACATTTTTGCCATATTGCCCACTTCTCTTTGGCTGTTTTTGTGTTTCTATGCATCTTACATTTCTATCAGTAAGTCTGTATTTATGAATTATTGTATTGTTATGCTATTGTTAATGTTGTTATTAATAAATAACTGTATTTTCTGTACATTTGTTTGTGCTTTTAAGCATCCCAGGGGACTGTGGAGACCAGTGCCCCCTTTCCAGTGGGTAACCTAGGAGAGGATGTGGTTCTAGAATGCAGGTTCCTCACCAAAAGTGGAACGGATCGTTCTAGTGATGTGCTCATCACCTGGGAGAAAGAAGGTCTCACTGGGCTGGTTTATCAGTACAAGAACAATGCAGCACAGTTACAGGACCAGAACGCACAGTTCAAAGACAGAGCCCAGCTTTTCACAGACGCCATTGCTGGGGGAAACGCTTCTCTACTCCTGAGGAGTGTGAAGATGACAGATGGTGGCGTGTATTACTGCAATGTGGGTGCTCCTGGAGTCTGGGGCAGAGTGAGGATTAACCTTAGAGTGAGCGGTAAGAAAGTCCAATGTTTTTTATTTTTTACTATATTAGGAATGTAACAATATTCAGCTTGCAATTTGATTTGACTCTTGAAGCTGGTTTTATGATTCAGTATTCTCACAATACTTTGAACAATATTTAAATCAAAGTAAAGGATGATGTTATTGTACAACCTATAACTGAAACTAGAGATGGGATACTAGAGCACTAGCCTGGAGCTGGGAGTGTGACATATGACACTTAACTTGCTGGGTCAAATTGCCCTTGTATTTGATGGTATAATTAATAGAATGCAGCTGATGTCACTCATCCCCATGATACCCCTTTTTCATTTTTCTATCTCAATCTATTCTGTCTTGATGTATTATTACACCCATAAGTTAACACACCCTCTATGGAGAACACATTTAAATATGGCATTTGTCTGCAAATTTATTTGCTTATTTTAACAGGCTGGAAAAAAGAAAACATTAATTGGGCCATGACCTTTGCACAGAACACATTTCATGTTTTAGTTATAAAATAACTTAAGCAATAAGTTAAATTCAGCAAATAAACAGTAACTGTGTATTAATGAAAAAATAATAAATGAAAAAAACTTTTGTTGATCATTTTTTTACATAATATGAAGCTGCTCTTTTTGTGTCAAAATTTCATGAAGAATATACCAACAGAAGTGCACTTACATTGAAAGTTATGAACGTTTTTTTCTCCTGTACAGTTATTTAGAGATATATATAATGCTATAATGATATAGCGGATTAAAAAAGTCTACACACTCCTGTAAAAATGGAAAAGGTTTTTTCACGTGAAAAAAATAATAAAACCAAGATAAATCATGTCAGAACTTTCTCCACCTTTAATGTGACGTGTCTGTGTTCAGATCAACCAATCATCTCATTCAAACTCATGTTAAATAGTAGCTTGTGTACACCTGCAATTAATTAAAGTGACTCTAATTAACACCTAATAAAGTTCAGCTGTTCCTGTAGAATTTTCCTAACACCTTGTTGGTTGCATCCTACTGCCAAAGCCATGGTCCAAAAAAGCTTACAAAGCATGAACCGGAAATCATTGTTGAAAGGTGTTGATCAGGAGAGGGGTTCCAAAATATTTCCAAGGCATTACTTATGGAACTTACCAAGGAGCACAGATAATGACAATCAACAAGTAGATAAAATATGGCAGTGGCATTACCAAGAGCAGGACATCCCTCCATAATTGATGAGAATACAAGGAGAAAGCTGGTCAGGGAGGCTACGAAGAGGTTTATGGCAATATTAAAGTAAAGAAGCTGCAGGAATATCTGGCAAGTACTGGATGCTCCTTGTATGTGACAGTCTCCCATATGGCCATTCCTTGGTCATATTTCCAAAAAGAACAACATGCGCATGCTGAAGCATGGTGGTGGCAGCATCATGCTTTGGGGTTGCTTTTCTTCAGCTGGGACTGGGGCTTTAATCAAGGTGGAGGAAATCACGGATCTGTTAGAAAACTGAAGCATACATGAAAATCAATACATATACTTCACCAAAAGGAGATCAGTCTTTTGGAATGGCCCAGCCAGAGCCCAGACCTGAACTAAAAATCTGTGAGGTGACCTAAAGAGGGCTGTGCATAGGAGTTGCACTTGCAATTTTTTTAATGGATCTAGAATCTATATCACCAAGTCAAGATGTGCCAAACTAAACTAAACCTAATCATGAACCTAAAAAGACTCAATGCTATAATAAAATCAAAATGTGCGTCAACAAAGTACTAGTGCCGTTTTTTACCCTACAATGTTTCTGACTGTTTTAATCTCACACTAAAGGTGGAAAATGTTTTCACATGATTTAACTTGGTTTCCATTTTACATTACAAAAACCTGCCATTTGTGTTTAGAGAAGTGTGTAGGGTTTTTGTATCCGCTGTATGTGTATATATTCACCGACTGGCGACTGGAGAAATCTGGAACCAAGCCTGTGTTCTAACTAGCTTGAAAAATATTAGCAACTTTTGTGCATTTATGTTTATGTGGTGTGGTGTTTTCACAGGCAGAAATATGCTTATTGTCCAAATCATTTTAAACAGTTTGATTAGGTGCCTAAGACTTTTGCACAATACTGTATATACTTTATAATAATAAACCATTAGGCACTGCTGTTAATATCAGTCTTCCCCTTTTGCAGTCTACTCAGCTCCCACAATCACCAAGTCAAACAACAGTCTAAGAGCTGAAGCTCCGAGATGGACGGCCACACCTAGTGTAACCTGGGTAGACCAGAGCGGAAAGCAGTTGAACAGCAGCACACAGTTTACACGGTTTAACAACAGCGGCACTGAAATTGTGCAAGTAGTGAGCGACCTCCCAGGACCCCTGACAGCTGCAGTGATCTACACCTGTTTCATCGAGGACCGTCTCATCAAATCAGTCTCTGAAGTAACAGGTATGTGTGAAATGCATGTTTGTGACTATAGCTCTATCAACATTAACACAAATATACAGGCAAAACAAATAAAAAACTAGAGCTCACCCACAGTGAAAACATTTACACAAGCCATTTCACAACTGATGACACCCACTTGTCCTTATCCAGTGATACTACGGCAACTACAGCAACTGTGACATAAACAAAGTAATGTGTCAAGACTGTCGGCCTGTGTGAAAGAGTGATCTGAGAACACGATTTAAAAGTAAAACAGAACAAATTTCTTACCTATGAAGTTTATTAAAAAAGGTTTAACTGAAGTCCTGTTCTTCTGTTACTCTTCAGGTGATGGAGATTTGAAAAGTTCATACTTTGTCACCAGTTCATCACCGAAGATGCCGCCACTGCAATTAGTTTGCACAACTCCCCTCCTTCTCTACATGCTGGCATGGTGAGGTTATTGGAGAGCATGATGGATATTGTGTACCATCCACAGGGACTGCTCTATGAAACTGTGGTAAAAGTGCATTTATTGCTTTTTAACCTGTTGATTATCTTGGCTTGGCGTCAGTGATGATGGACAATTTTTGCAGACTGCTTTCTAAGATGATCATAAATAAATGTCAATAATGCTGATACACTCTGTCTTTGTTTCACTTCTTCACGATTTGTGTCTCAAATTAAGCTCTAGGTCCTCTGACGTCATTTTGGCTGGCTTTACATGGTGAAACATTCGTGCAACTTAATTTCTGTGAAATTTAATTTCTGGGCAGCTTGACAGTTACACAAAGCAATTAAATAACAATCACAGCTGCTTATTATATTTAATTACTATTATATTATCATTTTTCTATAAAGCCATGCATGTGGTGTTATTTACATATTTGCAGTATTTTTACAGCCTTTGTATAATAATCATTTTTCCAGCTGTCACTGCCATTCTTGTCTACATCTGTATATCTGTCTTTTAGCTACCTATGATTTTCTACTATATATTTGCCTTTAAAACTGTTCTGTGTATGAAAAAAGGCCTTCGTTTTCTGGGTGTTGAGAGGGAAAATCAAATAAAGTCCAAATACAACAGAAACACAAAAAGTGAAGACAAAAACACTGTAGCTACACTCCCAAAGCTTTTTTTTTGTCAGAGAAAAGTGCTGCAAACGCTCAGCATAGTGTCAGTGTAGATAGCTTCAGTGTTGCCATTACTCATGACTTCTATGTTACTCTGTATTGAAAAAGTATCTCACTATATGGGCAGATAATTGTGCCTGATTTAAGGATTATTTCTTGAAACAAAAGAAAAAAGTCTAGAGATAAGTTCAATAGTCTTATAATATTTGTAGCACAATGTCAAAATGAGAAATATTAGATATGTCGACTTGATTTCACGATTTCACTTTCCAAGATATGATTTGTTGCACTGTAAACTGCCACTCAGGAGGTCTCTACTAATTTAAAAATGTGCATCTAGGGTCCCATCGTCCAGAGCCCCAGAATCACTAACACTGAATCTCAAACGGCTCCCTACTCCCTATGTAGTGTACTATGTAGGCCAATATATAGCAGATTCTACACCTAAATAGTGCTTTACATGTCCAGTATAAAGCTAATTATATTCAGCCATAAGCTGTATGACTCCCTGTCTGACATATATTGCATTTCAGTGTAGAAGCCATAGCTTCATTACCTCTGAAGTACACTATATAGGGAGTAGTGATGCAAATTGAGATTTAGCCTAAATCCATCCTTGTTAAAGGCTACTGAGTGCTGATTGATTGGCGATCTGATCTGCTCATCAGCTGAGTAAAACTTACTGACATGTACATAAAGCACTGTTGCAAAATAACAGCATTTCAACATTTTGAGCTATTCTGTGTTGAGACAATGAGTGCATTTGTCTGTAATAAATGGACTGACCATTAACACTTGCAGGTGTACACAAAAGCTCCACAGCTCCCCGTTGATTTCGCTCTTTTTTGACCACCTTCTGTCGTATCCACTCATAGGAGATTACACTGAGTGATGTTTCTCCTCACTAGAAAGTTGCATCCGAAGTGGCTCAGAAATAGTCAGCCGTCAGCCATGTTGTAGTGCTGCTTGATAAATCTTTCGGCCATTTCATCATCATTCTCCAGATAGTTCACTAGGCCTACCGCAAACGCTGTGTAGTGAATTTTAAACGAGTTAACAAGTGAACATGTGTAAAATGAACGATGCCCAATTTACAGTGACAGTACGTTCACAGCTACCTGAAGTGATCTAACAGCTTGGAAATAGGTGCTAATATATTACTTCAAAATTTACGCAGTACTTTACAAACGTGCTAGTGATAAATTACACGTGCTCATGAATTTTGGACTCCTTTGTAATTCGGCCGCCATTAAAAAATCTGACCACATTTTTTTGTCCACATATTCTGACGTGCACTGTGAGATGACCTGCCTTAGTCGATCTAGACGTTCTACTGGGCTGAATCCAGTTAGTTTACTGTAGGGAAAATGAGTCGATGTGGGCCCGGTCTTTCTGTCCAGTAGATGGAGACACTGCTGCTGTCTGCACTGAGTGTGCACTCTCGTCACGCTCCTCGGATAGTAGTTGAAGCCCCGCCCACACACGCGTCCGCGCTCTCTGATTGGACCGAAACAAACGTTCTCAAGAGTCACCGAACTTTGTTCGAGGGAGAACCGTGTGAGATTTTAATGACAGCTGTTTACATTACGATCATTTTAAAAACTAAGTTCTTTTAACAAAAGAAAAACATCTGATTCCTCGACTCTGCTTGCTGGGGTCTTCTTCAGGGTTCTGCTAGTTTTCTCCTTTGTCATTTGGAGCCACACTGGCGAAAGTGTTACACACCGGACAGCGTTAACGTTACTAAGGTTACGATGTCGCTCCGTGAGGAAAAGCCAGTTTACGAGCACAAGAGCGAGTCTGAGATTAAGACCAAAAACGCGGTTAAAGGGAACGGGAATGGTCGTAACTCCAGAGCCGTGTGTAGGGTATGTGACCGGATGTTTAGGGAGCCTAAAATCCTCCCTTGCTTGCACACGTTCTGCGCCGACTGTATCCGGCAGATCGAGCCGTTCTCGGCGCTGGGAGCCGAAGGTAAGAGACCGTGGCCTGGCGATGAGGGGCGGGGGCGCAGTCCGCTCCCTCTAACGGTGCTGTGTCCCGAGTGCGATTCCGAGGTGGACCTGCCCTCATCGGGCGTGGATGGGCTAACCACTGACCACCTTGCCCTGGACGAGGTGTTCATGGAGACCCTCTTGTTGGAGAAGAGCGTGTTGTGTGACTTGTGCAGTGACAGTGATGCAGGAAAGCGGTGTGAAGTGTGCTGTGTTAACCTCTGCGACTTCTGTAGCCAAGCGCACAGGTCAGTATGGGCAGATTATTTCTTAATGTACTCATTATTTGTGCTTTCATTATCATTTGATTTCAGTCTGATGTGTCCCAGATCTTTTAACTCATCATTTCTTAAAACAAGTAAAAAGAGTTCAGAGATAAATTCAGTAATCTTTTTAATATTCTTACCATCAGAATGAGAAATATTAGATATGTCTATTTGATTTAAGATTAATTAAATCTAAATTGCAGTGTGTCCAAAAGTTTGTAGACACCTGCTCTTCCAAGCTTTCTTCTAAAACCTGGAGTATAGCAGTCCCACTGCTCCACAGAACAAGGCTGGGGGGTTATACTCCTCTAATCGATGCTTGGCATTGTGCCTTAGGCTCATTTGGATGTTCCCTGAATACAAGTTGGCTTGTTTGTTTATTACCTTCCAAACAAAAGTTGTTGTTTATTAATTTGTTGCAACCACCAACAATAACAATCAGATTTACAAACTATGATTATAACAAAACAAATGATTATAGAAATGTCCCAAGACTGTAAGAACTGTATTTAGTTATGTCACTAAACATGGAAATAAAATCTTAAATGAACAACAACCTGAAATAAAAAACAAACAAAATTTTAGTCTAGTACCCTTGGAGACCCCTGCCACCTAGAGACCCTTTGTAGTCCAATCTGCTACCGCCCTTGCTGTGGCTCTCTTGGAATTTGGCAAGGAATATGACACTCTTGCCATATAGCATTGAAGTTGTCCATAATTGACGCATTGCTCTTCTCTGCAGGAGGCAGAAGAGGACGTCCAGTCACTCTATCCATTGCTTAGAAGAGCTGAAGTCTCGGGGTCATCTCTACCGGCCTGTCCTTTGTACTTTGCACCCAGGACAGGAGCTGCGTCTTTTCTGTGAGTCCTGTGACCTCGCTGTGTGCCTGGAGTGTGCTGCTGCATTTCACCGGGACCACCAGTGCAGCCCTACTCATGACGTCATTTACCAACATGGTGATCGTATCCGGGAGTTGGTTTCTGGGAGCCTGCAGCCTCGTCTCGGCCGTCTGGAGGAGGCACTGAGGCGTGTGGAGATATCCCAGGAAGCCTTAAAGACTCGAACAGAGGCACTGGCAGGTGAGATCCGGGCCTTTGCCAGGAGCTATGCCAGCGCGGTGGAGGCCCACTGCTGTTCTCTGCTGCAGACTCTGGAGGAGGTGAGGGTGCAGCGGCACAACCAGCTTAATCTGCAGAGTGTCCAGCTGCAGCAGGCGCTGTCTGACGCCCGCGGAGGCGTGGAGTTTGCTGAGCGCTTGCTCACATGTGGCTCAGAAGCAGAGATCCTCAATGCTAAAGGAGTTACCATGAGAAGGTTAATGAGCTTGCTGGAGTGCGGCTATGATCCACACCCAGCCACGGTCAGCCATGACATCGGTAGCAGTATGTACTTTTTACCTCAGGAAAGTGCTGGGCAGGTGGATGGATTCCCTGTGCTGGGAGTCCTGCATGCCAAGACCGTAGATCCCTCCAAATGCATCATCGAGGGAGAAGGTGAGGACAAAGCTTAATGAGGCATATAAGCAGTAGTTTAACTTTAAAGCAAAGTAGATTCTTTTGCCCTGTCACAATGCACGTGGCAAACATTGGTGCATATTTCAGCAGTAGGAGTTACACCAGTAAGCTTTGTCATTCAGCTGAAAGAGATTGCGGGGTTGTGGAGGGGTGAAGTTATTGAAAAGTCATTCAGAGAGGTTTGATGAGATGGTTTATTGTAGAGAAATTGACCACCTCTGACTTCTTTGCATTGGTGGTCATGGGAACCAGGAGAAGCGATGTCTGTAGTGCAAATATAGACATTTTTATTACTTACTATCCAAACTGCCAGTGATCCTACAGGTCTCTTTTAAATGTTTATATTTAATGTTGATCATGGTGAAATAGTGCTAAATCAGAAAAAATATATTTTCTTAGGGGACTATTTTACTTTACAACACATCGCATATACCCATACGCCATGAATGGCTTTTTAGAAAATACCTTTTAGGCCAAAATCATGTCTCAGAACCATAGAATCATAAAATAATATCTCAGGCTTCAGACAGTGTATTTATAATCACTTCATGTAATATTTGTATATTATATAAATAAATATATAATACTCATTATTAGGGGTGCAGGAAAAACTCGATTCTTAGATGCATCGCGATGCGGACGTGAACGATTCTGAATCGATTCATAAATGTCAAAAATCGATTTTCTAAATATTTAATTTATAACGTAATGTTGACGGAACGCAAAAGGCGGAACTGGAAGTGGGTAAATGCAGCGCCCGGACAGTCTGTGGCGGCACATAACATAGGTTGAGTGAGAAATCCAACCGGCTCCGTCTGCATTAAAAGCCAGGTCAGGTCAGGAGTCACAACACAAATGATAAGAAGAGCCATTTTGTCCTTTCAACAAAGTCAAACCACCTCGGGAGCCACACCATTTAATGCCCAGTATGTCTTAGTATGTATTAATGTCCTAGTATGGGCTAAAATATAAACGAGAGCGCAGACTTAACCTAGTTAGCTACTTCGCTCTGCTTTAAGCTTTAGCTACAGCCGCTTTCCTCCCATCTCCGCCAGAAAACCTTTCTTCAAAACTAGGAGTTTCTTGTAAAATGTCTCAGCATCCGGCTGTTTTACGAGGCTGAAGTCGCTTCTCATTCGCCAGCTTCTCGTTCTAATTTTCCCGTTCCACCTTAAATTCTGCCTTAGGCGCCGAATGTAACTGCTGCACCATTTAAGGTGGAACGGGAAATTCGAAAGAGAAGCGACTTCATTTTCGCAACTTTTTAGAGAAATGCAGTCTCTGACCTGCTGTCTGCTGTCTGTTCTCAGTAGTTGAGAACCAGGGCTTTTGCGCTATGCTGCACACTTTATTTAAATATTGTTATAACTGAAAGCCATATCGCAGTGTGTCAATATTATGATTTGCTGATCTAGACGCACTACAAATATGCCTGTGTATTTTATGCTTTTCTATGGAAATTATCAACAAAAACTTGGGATGATTAGTTCAGCTGAGTACTGATATAAGACTCAGCAACCAGGCCAGGGGCTGAGCTCTATTCCTGTAGCACTAGTTAAAATCCAGTCAATGTAGACCACTGAAGACCACTTGTTCAGAATAGACTGATACAGTGACCTCTAGAGAGCTTGCACAGGGCGCTGCAGCTGCAGCAGGCACAGATGTTATTAGTACTAGAGAGCCATATTCATGAGAACGAAACGTCTTCAGCTGAATTTCTAAGTAATAGTGTGTTTGAACATCCTGCTTCCCAAGGCACTGGAAACACACACACATGGACTCACACGCCTGAGGGAATGGAATGTAGGGAACACTAGTAGATGACATTCCTGGTTCCCATGGCAACTTTTCAGTTGCTGGTGTCAGTCCTGGTTAACTTTGCTGTGTCCCAGCATGCCTTGTAGAGGTTCAGTCACCAACCAGATCATTAACATGAAGCTGTGAGGTGTGAAAAGCAAATACATGTGGCACTAACTGGAATCATGGTTTTATGGAAAGAGGCCCTGAGGCCAAATTTTAGATGTATTTGGTCGTTTTATTTGCCAAGTGGGTAGTTTTCAAGTATGTTTGGATTAAAACCTCATACTATGACAGAGAGAGAGCACAAAGAGGAGCATTATCAGAGCACTCAATATAGTGTAATGCTTACATGAACACTGCTTTAGAAACTCTGGTGGAGTGAGGTAATCTTCACAGCAGTTTAGGTCTGCTAAAAAACCTACAGTAGTTGGCATCAAGAAGTCCTTTTACTTTTGAAACTTAGAATTGGTAATATTTAAAGTTTTTAAGTGTGTGTTGATGGTATTACTGGATGTGAGAGGAGCATTTGAAACTCCTTTTTTCAACAGCTTGTTGCTACATATTGCACCTACATTATAGTTTTATGGGCTGACTGTTATGCAGTTTGAAATATGGTAGAGTAAGTACTGGCTTTCCAGACTAGTTTTGGGCACCGTTGCAGTGCCTAGGGTGATTGGCAATTGCTTAGGCTTAAAAAAATGGCCCTAAAATTTGACTTTATTTACTTCTGTCTCCAGCAAGCCTCTCACATTGAGAAGCACTTACATGGCTAGTGTCAGTAATATAATAATGCTGGCAGCAAAAACATGAGCGAAATCTAGAATATGTTTCTTATTTATTATTTTATTATTTGGCCTATTTTGGACATTCCACTCAGGCAGATGTTTTTTCAGCTTTAGTTCTTCATGGTTGTGGTAATTTTTGTCCACTTTGATTTGGTGCTTGTGGTCTGTTAAGTAACATAGAAAATGTTAAATGTAGTCATAAGCCTGTCCGTTAAACCTCTGCATAGTTTAAACATTGAGATGCAAACAAAGTCATTCAGAGTGGTTTGATGTGAGATGGCTCTTTGTAGAGAAACTTACAGGCTCTGATCTCTTTACAGTGGTGATGACAGGAACCAGGGGTCTTGATGTCTATAGTGCAAATATAGTAATTTATTTACCATTGAAAAGACAAGTGAACCTACATGTGTCTTAAAACAGTAGTAAACCTGGAAAAAAGAAGTTTTATTTTTAGTGTTTTGCCTTAGAACACTGCATGTACCTCTCCACCATGAATGCATTAAAAACAATGTTTCAGGCTTTAGGCTATGTGCTGATAAAATTTCATGTAATAATTTTCTGTGTACTAGCTTTTAGATGCATTCTCTCCTCAGATGTCTGGTTCCTATTACCACCACTGTGAACATTTCAGACTCAGTAAGGTTTTCTAGAACAATGAATGACTTTGTTTACAAGTTTAGTGATATAATGGTTTAATGATTTGAAAAAGTTGGCAGAATTCCCCTTTTTAACAGCAAAACCTTCATCATTTTCACCAAACCATAACTGTTTAAGTGTATTAGTTCTTTGTTGTTTTGGTTGAAGAGAGATGTTTAATGAGAGGAGATGCTGATGTTATGTTTATGTACTTGACTTGATCCTTTGTACATGTTTAGTATGTGGTAATCCATTGTGCCAGGAGACCACAGTGTCAGATTTAAGTTGCAGGTCAGGCTGAGTGTCTGAATCTGAGGGCTGCTACAGCTATAAAGGAGGGATTTGTCACCAACAGCTGCAGCTGTAATTAAGACAGAGCCCAAAGCCATCCTCCCGTTTAGTTTCAACTGAGAAAAATAAAAGGAAGTAGAAATGTTAGAAATTACAGAGAATGTCCATTTATTAAATCAGTTCAATATATTAATGCTAATGTGTTTTGTGCTTTTACGGTTTATTACAGTCATCACACAGAAGTTATAAAAACCTTTTGAGTCCCAGCTTGTCTCTAAAAGTGTCTCCTGCAGCAGTAAAGTCTGGCCTGAGTCGGCCCCCAGCTGGCTGATCCTGTGTGATCAGCTCTGCCCTTTGTAACCCGCAGGTGTCCAGCAGGGTGTGGAGGACCAGCGGGGCGAGTTCACACTGGTCTGCAAAGACTCTGCAGGAGAGCCGATGGGTAAAGGAGGAGACCCTGTGCTAGTCAGCATAGTCCACAAGGACAGGAAAGACTGGTAAGTGTGACCCCCTGCTGGGAGATAGTCACTTCCACTCCTGTAAAGTGTTTGTGTGTTCGCACAGCTGTATGTAGTGAGCGATGATAAATCCTATACTGCTCTGCTCATGCACGGCCAGTCTATTTTACATACACAAATACACCCACAATGGCTTTATATGGTTAACAACTTCACCTCAAATGTTTCAGTAGCCTATGAAGCACATGAGAAGTTGAACTGTTTCATGTAAAAATTGTTTATGTAAAAGTACAATTGTCCATTCTAACATTTCCATTCTAAATTTGACCATTTAATAAATACGTTTCCATTTGTAAGACTTCAATTCGAGCATGCAATAATGGTTTAATAATCATTATTTTATCATTTTAATTTTATCATTTTATTATTCAAGTATTACCTGTTAAAACTGAATTCATAGCAGTAACACAATTACATTCATAAAAATGTGCATATCATCACTGTCGGAACAAAAACTTGTATCTCCAAAAAGGTAACTTTACAAGAGAAGGAAAAAACCGTATTGACTTTTGATCAAAGTTAGTGGAGAAATTATTTGTTCCAAGTATTTTTGGACCATTTCTGTTGGTTCCTTCATTATGAGCTTTTGTCACAGCGTAAAGGGCAGCTGGTGATTTAAAAAAAAATTAAAACTACAAAGATGGAGATACAAAGTTTTGTCATGACAGCAACAGTATGCAAGCATTATGCACAGAACTGTGCATACACATGGTTGATAAATGAGACTCTTGGGTTTTGCAGTCACTGATAAGTATTACACTGGCCAATCAGTCACATGAACAGGCCAGTTAACTGCCAGTGATTACAGAATGCAGGACTGGAAACTGGAGTCAAGGTCTGGATTCATTTAATCAAGCCTTCAGGAGCAAAACAAATAATCAGTTAGTTGTGCGCTATTGCTGTAGATATTCAGCCTTTTGTTCTGTGTTTACATTTTACTGTTACTTTTTTTTTTACATGGTTAGTGTTTCTTCCCAACCTTTACTGAGTGGCATTCCAGTCTGGCCTATAATGTATGTGGCCAGTGTCAGTAGCACAATGGTGTAATAGTAGCAGAACCTTGCCACGAGCTAGATGTGTCTTGGAGCGACGTGGAACTATAAAGTATCTTGGAATACTTGCCTGGTTGTAGGTTTCATAGATGTCTATTCTATTCTGAACATAGATCAGTCTATTGTCTGTGCAGGCACAGCTCTGTGTGGTTTGTGTCTGTCTTTTTCCAAGAAATCATGTGCACCCAGTGTTCTGATGACCCTAGAGTCAGAGAGACAGAGAGGACTACTGAGTGACAATCCAGGTTATTACAGAAAGCTTTTTTTCAGCAGCCAGCCTAGGCGTATGGATTATATAAGCACATCTGTTCAGCGGGCCTTGAAAAGATTCACAGTGACACACTCAATGAACTGAAATCTTCGTCTAGGTAGCTATTTTGCTGCCCCCAACATGTTTTACTACAATGGCTCCCAAAAGCAGTCCTGCGCTGTATCCGACACTGCCCTATTCAGTATATATTCAGTGGTGTCCCAAAACAGAAGCAGAAGATCCAGTTCACTCAAACAATCCCACAATGCACTGCAATGAGTAGTGTACAACCGATGTGCCAAAAATGTTCAAATTGCAAGACCTGCAATATTAATTATATCTTACATTAATCAATGTTGTCTTAGCAAATTTTAAGGCAGAAATGTAACCTAATGATGCAAAAGTTAAGCATTATTTTAGCTTTATTTTAGCTTTTACTGTTTAAATTTACCCCCTGCCATGTCTTTATTGTCTTTGTTTCTTTTCAGGAGTTTAACGTCTTTATTAAGGGGGACTAGGCCATCCCAGACTCCTTTGTAATTCATACCTCGGTGTTAGATCACTGTGCCTGTGTTTGGGTTTATTACTGTGTTTAAACGTGTATTGTCACTACAAATGTTACACCACACCTCATTGTGTTGCCTTTCGTGCCTTACAGCATAGTGGAGACGACTGTGGTGGATAACGGTGATGGTTCATATGCTGTCTCCTACACTCCGGTGGAGCCTGGCTCCTACTCTGTGTGGGTGTGTGTGAAAGCGCAGCATGTCAAGGTAGGTTGGTTTTATGAAGCGCTGTGTCTGTGAGATTCCACTACCTGTCTTACAGCTCAGAGGTGGGAAGATATTAGGATTGATGTGCTGGTGTTCTCTGTAGGGCTCACCTTTTGTGTTAATGGTGAAGAGAAAGTTCCGGCACCATCGTGGCATCTTCCACTGCTGCTCCTTCTGCTCCAGTGGTGGCGCTAAAGAGGCACGCTGTGGCTGCACAGGAACCATGCCAGGTACAGCCTTTTTCCTTCCACCATGAGCTGCGTATGGTTGTTAGACTTGACTACACAAGGGTTAGCAGTTTTAGCATGTTATAATATGAGAAAATATTGTCAAGAAGAAATCTGATCACTATTAAAATAAGATTTGATTGTGATTATTTGATTACAGTTATGCTTAAAAGTTAAATGGAAAACATTCATGTGTGCTAGAGTGATGACCAGCGAATGTGCACCTGCTTCAAGGGCAATAATTGCCAATTTATCAAATAGTATTAAACACTATTGAAATGTAATGTTTTATTCTCTTTTACTGTTGTTGACCAAGGACTGCTGTCATGTGTGATAGATAATCCCAATTTTGGGAAACTGACCCAAAGTGTGTAAATGCTTACAAAATTGCTTACAAAAGTACAATATATACATTAAAATGTGTCTTAAGGGTGACTCCATAGTTGGGGTGCCATTTAGCTCTTTTTTTGTCATTTTTCATGATTGCATTTAACCATTCTAAAATGTTATCCCATCTCAGGAACAATCGTTCATTTTTACAAGGTTTCTTTGCTGATAGTTCCTAAAATGCATAAAAGATGAGTTTTTTTATAGTATTTAATTAGCAAATACAAAAAATGTGGCTAACTATCATCCATGCCAATGGCCTGAGGACATTAAGGACATTCTAATGACTTACTTAAAATGATATAATTTGAGTAACACAATTGTACTTTCCAAATGATATTGTCAGTCAGTATTACAATATCGTTGAAAGTAAAGTAAAAGAACGAGAGAACTCTTTTCTTCCTCCCATTATCTTCATGAAATGTGGTCAGTACAAATTGCTGCTGAAAGGTTTTATTAATGTTTTAAGTTTTATTTATATGAAACATGTACATAGGTTGTTGTGAAGGACACGTTACATACATATTTGTAACTGTAATATGAGTGGCACAAATGGCCCCCCATTTGTGGAATCACCCTTAATATTGTACACACTTGCCTTATGTGTATTGCTGTACATTTCATTTCTGTGCACTACTACAGTGGGGCAAAAAAGTATTTAGTCAGCCACTGATTGTGCAAGTTCTCCTACTTAGAAAGATGCGAGAGGTCTGTAATTTTCATCATAGGTACACTTCAACTATGAGAGACAAAATGAGAAAAAAAATGAGTTGCATCCCAAGAACACCATACCTACTGTGAAGCATGGGGGTGGAAACATCATGCTTTGGGGCTGTTTTTCTGCAAAGGGGACAGGACGACTGATCCGTGTTAAGGGAAGAATGAACGGGGCCATGTATCGTGAGATTTTAAGCCAAAACCTCTTTCCATCAGTAAGAGCATTGAAGATGGAACGTGGCTGGGTCTTCCAGCATGACAATGATCCCAAACACACCGCTCGGGCAACGAAGGAGTGGCTCTGTAAAAAGCATTTCAAGGTCCTGGAGTGGCCTAGCCAGTCTCCAGACCTCAACCCCATAGAAAATTTGTGGAGGGAGTTGAAAGTCCGTGTTGCCCAGCGACAGCCCCAAAACATCACTGCTCTAGAGGAGATCTGCATGGAGGAATGGGCCAAAATACCAGCTACAGTATGTGCAAACCTGGTGAAGACTTACAGGAAACGTTTGACCTCTGTCATTGCCAACAAAGGTTATGTTACAAAGTATTGAGTTGAATTTTTGAACTTTTGTTATTGACCAAATAAATTTTCCACCATAATTTACAAATAAATTCTTTAAAAATCCTACAAAGTGATTTCCTGGATTTTTTTTTCTCATTTTGTCTCTCATAGTTGAAGTGTACCTATGATGAAAATTACAGACCTCTCGCATCTTTCTAAGTAGGAGAACTTGCACAATCAGTGGCTGACTAAATACATTTTTTGCCCCACTGTATAGTATTTTAAATGCATATCTAGTTATGATAAACACTGTATATGTTCAGTTCCACACAAAAAACAAGCATCTGTGTGTCTGTAAGCATGAGCAGTCATGTTCTGCTGTTGTTTGTTGTGTTTGTTCAGGAGGGTTCCAGGGCTGTGGACATGGCCATAAAGGTCATCCAGGGAAGCCACACTGGTCGTGCTGTGGAAATGTAGTGGAGGGGTCTGAGTGTGTGCGCAGCCTTGGGCCAGGGACTCTCCGTGGTCATGTCAGAACTGTGGAGCTTTGAATGAACACCCACACCTGGAGGAAAAGACAACTGTTGTTATGTGTACATGGTACCAGTTTTACAAACATGCCTTACAAACATGTCCCCATTTTTAATATCTTATTTCTTAGTATCACCAGCTGACTGTATCAGTCTGTCATATATTGTTTCTAGACAACAAATTACCACTTGCTGCTTATCATGTGAAGCTGGATTATTCACTAAAACCAACAGTTTCAGGTGAAGCACATCTTACCTTATCTAATTAAATGGCTTAAAGCCTTGTAAGTCTCTAGAGACAATCAACAGGTAACTCAACCAAAGTATTTAAAGGGCATATAATATAGAAAACAGACATTTCTTCACTTTTTTAAGTAGAAGAGTTTGATGTTGTATATAAACATTGTTAAAGTTTCAAAGCGTACTATTCACTCCTGTCCTTTTGTAGAAACTAAACTGCAAAAATAGGCTGTTACGAAATTACTGTTTTTGTAATGTCACAAACAACACATTTACATATACGTGCCTATTCAGGCTATAGTTTAGCCCTGCCAGTTCACACTGAGGTTATTAGGAGTGCTACAGCCCGGACTGCTTTTTGATTGAAGCACAATACTGGGCAGTTGATCATGATGAGGTTATTTACATATATCAGTCTTAAACGCACAGTAACAAAAACAGCTTCTTTAATTAGAGGCTGGAAAATGGTCATGCAGATCTGAATTACACATTTTTGGTACATAAGCCACACGTCTCATAAGTGGACCTCAGGGAAAAAATACAATTAAAATGTAGGATAAAGGTGCTAAATATGAACATGTACTAAACAACACGATTAAGTGTTCCCAAACCAGCTGTATAACTATAGCAAGACTTTAGCAGGACTGCTTTCTAGAATGACTGTGTATATATACACTTCCGTATTTTAATACTCACTCAGTAGTAGAGTGCTTTTTACAATGCATTTCTCTGTATGAGCATGTACTCTTGAGAATTACCCCAATATATAATATAATAGCATCAGATCATCAGATATATTGTCTTAAGTGTGTGCATGTGATTCGTGTACCAAAGACTGCCAATTCTATAGAGGTGCCTTAAAATTATAATTCCTAAAATCTTTAAGAACTTGTAGTTTTGAATGCCAGTTTCTATAGTTTCTCTGTATTTCAAATAAAGAAATGGACTTCTTAGTGAGTAGCTGTCTGGAGTCTCTTTTACTCTTTATCATGAAACGTTTGCAGGTCAGATAGTCTCAGTTGTTGTTCTTTCCACTTTATTATAAATCTATTCAGAGGAAATGAAAGGTAAATGAAAATACAGAACAATAGTTAGTTGGAAAGACTTAATAAGCTTAATATCACAAGAACAAATAAAGATAATGTCCCTCATTCTCTAATTATCTTTGAGGGTGAGGCTAATTTGTTTGACCTGTCTAATCAAAATAAGCTAATTTAAAGCCTGGTAACATTTAGGACAGTATTTATTTATTATGCTTCATCCATCCATCCATCATCTAAACCGCTTATCCTTCTGGGTCGTGGTGGGGCGCTGGAGCCCATCCCAGCTGTCATTGGGCGGAAGGCAGGATACACCCTGGGCAGGACACCAGTCCATCGCAGGGCAGACAGACATACATACACATTCACACACACACTCACACCTAAGGGCAATTTAGCACATCCAATTGGCCTGACTGCATGTTTTTGGACTGTGGGAGGAAACCCACGCAGACACGGGGAAAACATGCAAACTCCACACAGAAATGACCCTGGTCACCCGGCCGGGAATCAAACCCAGGCCCTTCTTGCTGTGAGGCAACAGCGCTACCCACTGCGCCACCGTGCCGCCCTATTACGCTTCATTTTCTATTTAATAATTTGCACTAAAACACTGGCGAATATGCCAAATGAGGCGTAAGTACTTAATCTTTAAATACATTGTTCCTCTTGATTTCCAGGATAAACCAGGAAGAGGCATGTAAGATCTGAATATTATGCACAGATTTCCCATCACTGGTCCTTGAGGCTGGTCCCCTGTTCTCTTACTGTTTAGCCTGCTCTCACCCTAACCTTCAACTCAAGAATGATTGTTAATGAGTTGATTAGTTAGATCAGGTGTGTTTGAGCAGGGAAAATACTAAATGTGCATGGCAGGGGGCCTCCAGGACCAGGGCTTTCATTTATAAAATATTTCTATGGACAGATTTGATCAAATGTGAAAATTCAAATTTCAGTAGTTATTTACAAAATGTGAATTTAACATGGAAATGTGTGTAGATGAGCACCAGTTTCCAACTTGACATATGAACAGCAGTTTGAGTGTGCTATAGGAGTACACGATTTGTGTTTTTGGAATTCAGTCATAAGCAATTGCTGAGAACTGATCTTAAGAACAAGTTTAGAATTCATTTCAAGTATGTTTATGAATGAGGAGCTATTAGTTAGCCAGTTTTCTAAGCAACACTAGATGGCAGTGATGCACTATGGCTCAGTTACACTGCATTAAAATAAGGATCTGAAATGGGAGTTGTGGAACTTGTTCCTTTCAACAGCTTGCTCCTTACATCCTAATTTAAATTCAGTCAAATCTGTTGGCAGTCTTGACCAAGCATTTGCAGATTGTTATCCAGCTATTGTTTTTCATTGAATTATTATGAATCAGTGGCAGTTCTTGAATGTTGTATGAATTTGATTCAGAGAAGAATATAACTTACATTTTACTTTCTCTCTGCATCAGTTTCATCTGACTAGTGTAATACCCTATTGTTACTGTTACTGTGCTATTGTGAGTATTGCTCATGAAAGTCCACTTTCTTTATTAACCTCACTTGATTAATACATTTTGTATCTTTTCTGTTAGTCATCTATTGTATAAACTGTTTTCAGCACATTTTCTGTATTTGTCCACAGTTTATCCATTTTCAGCCTTTTTGCACCCTATTATGAGCAGCATAATGACATCTTTTAGTCACAGCGTGTTGAGCTTTTCTCTTCACTGCTCCTCATCGTCCATCAATTTAGTTTAATGTGAGATCTTGCATTTGTCTCTCAGTCGTCCATCACATCTCAGTGCCACAACCACATTGTTGTAATACAAACCTGACAACTCACACTGGTTCTTTATCTCAAAATTGCAATGGATGATTCCCTTTCATCTCTTATCTTAAAGAATAAGGACTTACGTCTGAATTATTTATCTAAATTAGTTCATATCAGCACAGTGTCATAATTCATTTGCCAAGAGAAATCTGGTTTCCAGGACAACTTGCATAACACAGTATTAGATCCCCTTTGGGCTTCTTAGATCTGTTTGAAGTAGAGCGTGAGATGCTCACTTGCTCAGATGAGAGCAGTGTCACACATTTAGATTTGACAAGTTGTATATAAGAAATACACCTGGATAGGCCAAGATTTTATGAATGGGGAGCATAATGGTGTTTTGAGATATGCTGAAGACATGCCATGAACTACAAGTGACCACTGATAAACTCATAGTTGCTTGTGATAATAAACTATATGTCCAAAAGGTTGTAGACACCTGCTCATCTAATGTTTGTCCTCAAATCAAGGATATTAATAGGGAGTTTGCTGCAGTAACAGCCTCTACTCTTCTGTAAAGACTTTAAATTAGATGTAGGCACAGATGTAGGATGATTAGTTCTGGATCACAAACACCACTCCTAATCATCCCAAATCATCTGGTGCTCCATCACTCCAGAGCATGCAGTTCCACCGATCCACAGCCCAGTGCTGTATACCTCTCTAGCTGATGCTGGGCACTAGGCATGGTGATATTAGGCTCATGTATAGCTGCTCCAGAGTGACCAATTCTATTGACAATTAAAGTGTCACTAATTAGAAGGGCTGTCTGGATACCTTTGGACATAGAGTGTACAGCCAACAGCAGTGCCTGTGACAAAACACACTCAGAGAGTCACTCCCTAACATGATTAATGATAACACCTGGCCTCAGCCTGCCCACTAGTCCTCAGCACTATAATCTAGAAGCAGCTCTAATGTGTAGCATGTGATTGACAGTCAGTCAGCTCTCAACTGAGAAAAATGGGAAAATAAGTAGGCTAATGTTTAAACAGCACCATTCTTTGGGCCATTTGTCTATTCTCTGGCACCCAAAATGACTACACAAATAGCTAGCCTACATCTTATTGGCTCATTTTTATTTCAATTATTTTATGATTCAGTGCACTCTTTAATTCCAAAGACAGGGAATGCATATTACTTAATAATTATACTTACTTAACTAAATACTTACTAAATAAACTTACAAATTTTTGTAGTGTATAGGTTGTGTTGAAAATACAATCAAGGCAAATGGCCCATGGGATCAATTATTTGGAGCTTAACATCTACCAAAAAAGAAGAGTGTCAGAGTGGCATCCAACTAGTGCCATTGCATCACCTGTTTGGATGCCACCTACTGTTGTTTGAGCTGCGTCACCATAACAAGTCCTCAAGTCCTGTTAATCATTTCTATTTTTTTTTTTTTTAAAACCATTGGTAAGTCACCCTGACTGTTTTGCCAGTGAGGCCGCTGAGAGAGCCCATTCTGGATCTTTTCCCATGAACACCATCAGTCATGGTTTTGGATGACTCCCCAGCACCAGCTATTTCTGAGGCTCATGAGGCTTCGTCCCACACCTGCCTGTCATGCCACATTCCCGTTCCGCACTCGTCATCTTTCTTCTTGGCAACGTGGCAGAGCACTGTGCTGCTCCATTAACTGAATTGTCTGCTCCAGTGTCACCCCCATCCACTGTTATTGCTTATTGACAGGCGCCTCTCTGCACAAAAGCAGTGTGCCCTTGACTGAGTTAGCACATCTCAAGTGTGACATGGTATCACAAGCTATCATAATTCGCCGTGCTGGCCAAAAGACTCACTCTCTCATTATAGAGACCTGTTGCAGTATGATGTCCTTACCTACTGTATTATCTCTTTTTCAGAATAACCCCTTCACCTCATTTTCTCCTCATTTAATCAGTCTTTGTTGCTGTCATGTTTTTTGCCTGCAAAAGTGGTTTAGTGAGTTATTTGCTCTCTCAGATCAATTTATCAGTCTCAAATGTGCCTCAAATACATGCTGCTTTTTTGTTGATTCTTCTCATATTGGCATGAGCCCGATTCACAGGCACTGCTTCCCTGAGCATGACTCACACATGATGTGTCTTCCAAAATGGGATCTGCACAAAGCATACGACACGTTTGCAGCCAACCACAGAACTGCCACTAATTCACCCTCTGAGGCTGAGTGAGATAAATCAGTGAGGAGAGCACGAACAGACTGGCCTACTGGCAGCTCAAGGACCCAGTAACAGAGTGAATTAAATGAATAGCTTCACACCTCAGCAGAATGTGAGCACATTTTTTGACAAGCACACTCGTGCCAAGGCTATAAATCCTAAGCAGAGAATCTGATAAATAGTTGGGGTACAACCCCAAGACTGTCTCAGGATCCTCCGACTTTAGGGTTTCACCCAAATTGTTATTTAAGATGAATTTTTAAGCTCTGATATACGGTGCATGCAGGATTAGATTTGGAGTTGAATAAGTAAAAGACTTGAGAAGGTTAAGATTGTTCACCAAACAAACTAAACAAAAACGGAAAGAGCAACCTTATGAACTGTTCGCGGATGGTAATTGTGAGACGCTCCCTGGCTTTACTAAGCGCCAGTGGATGGGATGTTGGAGGACTGAGGGGAGGAGTACTTAGTTGTTGCAGTGACAACATCCTGGACATAAGAGGCTGGCGGTGCCCATGGCTACTGAAAAAAGGGAGGTTTAGGCGAGCTTGGATTCAACAGGAGGACTTAAAGATAGAGAATTGCTATGGAAATCCTTATCTTTATGAACACGTTCCTGGCTTGTTGTCCAATGGCGGCGATTTAACCCGCGGCACCGATGAGGTGATGCAGCAGCGGCTAGATAGATGATCGGTCCGCTCCACGGCGTTAACTAGCTAGTTCAGATGCCTTTACAGAAAAAGGCGCAGCATTCAATGCAGGTCGGGCTGTCTGCGAGACTTTTTCTGCAGATTATGCACGCATTCGAGTTGGTAAACGTCCAGTGGCTGTGATGCGACTATTTTTACTCCAATAAATACGTAGGCTAGTCGGTATAGGTGGTAATCTTGCTATTTGGAGAAGGTGGCGCGTCAGGCCTGTTTTACACAGACCCGTTATAACCGATA